CGGTCAATCTCTTGTCCTGCACTTTCGATTGATAGCATTCATTCTTGAATTTCTAACGTCACACAACATGATAAACGAACTACTCCAAGATGCTTGGCTCAGTACGTCCTTGAACGAATATCGAATTATGAGTTTAACTGATCTAGGGTTTTAGGTGGTTCCAGCGTTTCGTAGATTCTAAATTAATGTAATTATTCATTATTAAACTTACGGTGGGCCGCGGGTTGCTGACACCTGTACAACTGCTTCAGTGCCTGATTAATTACAGAAAGGTTGGTCAAATAAATTGGCAAATTGGCATCTTATAACAAGTTTACTAGAGTACCTACCTTTTTTTGCTTGGGAGGAAAAATCTTCAAAAGACATCAAAACACCAGTGTGTCGGGCAGTGTGGGACTTGTAACCACTAAAAAACCTCCTACACCGCAGTCGCGCCTCGGAACTATTTTCGCATTACTTCGAGGCGGATGCTTAATATTAAATATTTCTTGATTTTTCATCCTTTTCTCTTGTTCGCATAATTGTTACTATATATTCTATTATAGTTGACCAGTTCTTTTTACTTTTAGTAATTTTCTATGTGGTGTTATTTTTTGTTAGTTTGACCCCTATTTTGATGTCCATGATTGCTTTCACTTCCAGTCACTTGTCATAACTGAAAATGGCGTGTTCGGCATCATCTCGTTCTCCATCGCAATACCGACAATCTTCTAAGGGGCACCTTGCCGATGACATATAAATGTTGGTTAAAGCAACCATGTCCACTAAGAAACTGAGTAAAGTAGTATCCTACTTCTCCGTGTTTTCTTTCGTACCAAGATTCTATGTCTGAGATTAGCTCTTTGGTCCAATTATCTTTTCCGGGTTGCCTCCATGATTGTTGCCACCTTTGGATAGTCCGTTTTCTTTGCTCTCTTGTATTTCTATCGTCTTTAGGGGTGTTGTATAGTCTGACTCATTCTTCAGCCATTTCCTCTATTGGAATTATACCTGCTATAACCAGTGCCGCTTCTCTTGAGATCGTGCGATATGCACTGCACACTCTTATGGCTACTGTTTTTTGAACTTTTTGGAGTCGGGCTAAATAGCAACTATACGTTTGTTCCAACAACGATCAGAAACCAGTCACTGACACCAGGATTCTGCGCAGTAGCATATTGGGACCGCCAAATTATCTACTGCGCAGAATCTTGGTGTCAGTGACTGGTTTATGATCGTTGTTGGAACAGACCCTATATTTAATTATGGCCTCATTCCAGACTGGTACTGCGTAAAGCAGAATTATTGAATGTACGACGTTGCATGTTGTTTTTCGTTTACTGGCCCTTGGACCACCTACATTGGGCATAATTTTTGCAAGCGCCGTCATTGACTTTTCTGCTGTTTCTGCCGTCTTAAAAATGTGTTCTGTAAACGTTAGTTTTCTATCTAGCCAGACTCCCAGGTATTTTTTCCCCAAGACTTTTATATTTATCGGTTTTAATTTCCGTTTTGACTTCTCCGGTGCAAATGTAGCTTTTTCCCTTAAACCAGGCCGCCACGTTGTTAAGCGCTCTATTGGTTATTGCTTCTAAGTCTTCACTAGAGTGTGCGACTACTACAATTGCGAGGACGTCCGCGTAAGTAACAGGTTGACTCCGCTTGGTTGACGAATCTTAAGCGCCTCGTCGTACAAAATATTCCAAAGAAGTGACCCGAGTATAGACCCTTGGGGTACTCCACATAAAGTTTTAATGGTTTCTTTCCCGTCTTGGTCCTCGATAATGATTTCTCTGTCACTCAGGTAATTACCTATAATCCTACGTAGATAAGGTTCCACTTCTCCGTTTTTTATTTCGTTTATTATCTCTATCAATGATGCGGAGTTCTTAATATCTAACATGACAGTGATACATAATTTCTTTTTCCTCCAATTACCATTGTTCGCAATTTTTAAAACATGCTCCACGGCATCGAGAGTCGAATATCCTGTTCTAAAGCCATATTGTGTGTCTGAAAGTACAATGTTGTTGTTCAATCTTACAAACAGGAGTAGTTTCAACAGTTTTCCTAAGCTGCCCAGAAGCCAAATTGGCCTATACTTCTCGATGCCTTCCGTTCACTTTTTTGTGAGCAGTACTAATCTTGCCTTTTTCCATTCTTTAGGAAATTGTCTTGTGGTGATTATATTGTTCATTACTTCTGTGACTATAAGTGGAATTGCTTCGACCATTGCTTATACTGCTTCTGAGTTAATGTCGTCTGGTCCAGGGATATCTTTTTTTTTTTAGTCTATTAGAGTCATTAATGACCTCGTTTTCACTAAAGGCAGAGGAATGTCTTCAACTTCTATTTCATCTCGTTCTTCAAAATCATGAGAGGGAAATAGTTCAGCCGCTATGTTTTTTGTTTTCTGGAGACTTAATTTTGATAGTCCTGTTAGTTTTAAGTTCTTTGTAGCGATCTTACTAGAGTTATCTGGTTGATTAAACTTCACGCCCCTGTATAATTATCTTAATACAAAGAGAAACCAGGTCCGTCATTTACAGGCTAATGCATCCTGGATTATACGAGGCTATACGTGTGTCTTTTTTCCATCGGTTTGTTGGAATCGTTGTTTTACCGATGCGACCTTGAAAGGCTTGTGTTGAATTCGGTGTATTTACGGTTGACCGCTGAAATAAATAACATTTGATATTTTGGATTAAAATTTGTGTTTATAATTTTATTTAAATGTACCTTTATACCTTTATTTGAAAGTATGTCTCAAAAGATCGCGGTGGACAAGAACGAATGTCCAACTTCTTTCCAATCTAATCTACCTGGCATTGTAACTGCTGGGCTAATCTCTTCGAGGTGCTTCTTAAGATAATGTTGAATAAATGAGATTACAATTTTAAAATAACACTATATTTTTACATTTGAACATTCTTTGGTTCGTACTTGTTAATGGTAATTATTCTCAGAAAATATTGTGGTGGTTGAAAACCTCTAGAGATCTTTTGGTCCCTTGAAAGATATAAAAGATTCGAAGTACAAGTTTCTAGAATTTTTCAATTTCGTTATTCCGTTTTCTCGGCTGAATTCAATCAATAGCATTTTTTAGTAATGTGTGTCTCAAGTTTAAATGTGAGAGGTACATCACATGAGAGAGATGCATTTCAATTTACCTAGCTTTGGTTGCACGTTTGTTTGTGACGCTGATTTGAGAATTTTGGAATGTCTGCATTTGTGGTGAACAGCGTTGTGTCATAATTATTTAATTTTATTATTAAAATTGCTTTGTATTATTAATAGTTGGCTACGTCCCTATATGTATAAGATACAGTACGAAATCGAAAAGTGAACACCAAAATTTAATGGTGTGCTTTAGACTTTAAATCATAGTCAATCTTAGCTTTAAAATTTGACAGCTCTTAAAAATTATTATCAATTTCGAAGAGAATTATACGTTGGGTACTATAATAAAAGGCGTTTTTTCGTTAATGTTCATAGTTTGGTCACCCGGTCACTATTATTTTTTATTTATCGAGATTAAATATGAGTTATGGAGAACGGAAGAAATGGGCCAAATTCAAAAAACACCCTGTAACTTGGTTATTAAGGTCGCATGACCCATGCTATATAGGTTTTTTTTTGTGATCTCCTGGGTGACCTCTATATAGTGTTAAAATATTTCCCTTTCCTAATGAAACACCCTGTATTCTTTATTTTTTTATTGCCCATTTAAGACCCATTTGACAAAACGGCATAAAGATAGCAGGGGCAGAAGTTGGAAAGGCTTTTTTCTACACCCACATGGATATTAGCTTATCTACGCACAGATTATAAACCGAAAAAGTATGCTATTGCCTTTAACTGAACTAATATATTTCATATCCATTCTAGGTAGTGAGAACACAGCTATTATTTTTAAAATTTTAAATAAGTGACAATTCTGTCAAACTAATTGTCAGTATATTTTTTAGTTATTGAGATTAAACATACATTAAAATGGGCTATTATTGTGTAGAATCAAAAAATAATAGCATTTCTTTTTTTATTTCGTCTATAATTATAAATAATTTTTTAATTTAAATAAAACTATATAAAGTCAATTTAATTACGAGTATTAAAGCAATAAAAATAAAAGAATAGGTGGTCCTGCGGTTAGCGTTCTTGCCTCCCACACGGAAGACTGACTGGAGTTCGATTCTCGGATTGGGAAAAATGAGAAATGAACTTTTTTATGTTTTTTCGTTTATTTTATTTTAAAACATTAAAATTATTTTAAAATTAGTTATTTTGTCTTAATAACTCAATTTTTTTTATTTTTAAATTTTCGTTAGTGGGTCGTAGAAAAAATATACTGTACAACTCGAGTGGATTGTCCACATCGCACTCAGACGATTGAGCACTCTGCCTACGGCGTCGTGCTCAAATTTCGTCTTCGTGTGATATGGCCATCATATCCACTCTTGTTGCACAAACTACTATTGCTAGTTCTCTCACTTTATACACTTAAACTGACAGGTTTACGGCGGATCTAACCGAAGTAGACGCGATACATTGAAGTACAAAATTATTTTATAGATGTTAATATAAATTTCGAGTAAATAGTTTAATAAATAATTATAAATAGCTGTTGAAATTTTATAGAATTATGATTTAAATATTTTAATACATGTTTAACTATTATTTATAGTCCATAAATACATACTTATTCTATGAAACGACACTGGCAGGTAAACATTTCTGCGAAATTCTCGAAGCCATCCGATTCGGTTTGACGTTTACCCCCTCTCTATCTACCAAAAGCTTTTCCAACTTCTGCACCTGCTATAGAAGTAATATATTTTTGTTCTCAATATTCTCCCCTCTCTTTGCAACACCAATGGCCAAAGCCAAACGTACAGGAAATTTCACATTTGGGTTGCTCCGACTGTACATCAAGAAGTTGATTATTTTCGGTCTGTCTTTTCGGCTTCAGTAAAGAAATTAGCGAATATGATTGTTTAATAATTTTACACTTGTAATTTTAGGTATGAATTCTTTTTGGATTGTATATCACTGGAAGGTATTATTGAAATGGATCAAGAGATGATAAATAAAATTGTGCATATCGCCATTAGCGTTAGAGGAATGAATAAAGCTCTAGTTAAATCAAAGTTCTTTGATACGGTACGATTCTATAAGTAATTAAACATAATATATTCGATATAAAAGACAAGACGTGCAAATTATATAATAATTATTCCGAAGATTTTAACGTAATAACTATTTTTTTTTAGTTATTAGAACAAATTCAACTTAATTATAAACGGTGCATGGGTGGACTGGATTTCGCAAAACATTTTGGAAAAAATGCAGATTTTGAAAATTTGTGGCTTCCGCGCAAAGCACCTGAAAAAGTACCTGGTAAATAATTTATAACTTTATATTCTCCTATTCTTAAATTAAAAATAATTGTAATATATATTTTAGAGAGAATTAATACCGAAATGGTCAGTTTCGAGGACATTAGGAATCATTTTAGGTGGTACAATATCTATGTGGTAACCGAAACCTATAGAGCCATGGCTTTTGTAAATGGTGAATGTATTAAAATTGGCCAAATGTCAGTTTTTACTGCAAGCTTTGGTGCCAAATATGTTACTTTGGAAGAGTTTGATTCTATTCAATCTTTAACGAGAAACGTTGTAAGTGCATCATTTTACGCTCGCAATATAGACCAGCGGTTCTCTTTAAGGCGGGACTCCACCAAACTGGGCTGGCCAGACGGCGCATGCCGCCGGCTTTTGGCGAATAAAAATTGAAATAAAAATATTCGTCAGTGCTTCTCTTATTGCTTTGCACACTTCAGGTACAATAACTCTAATTAACTGCTTCGATAATCCTAAAAGCGTAGCTTAGGCTAGGCTAACATATGAATCACATGTGCCTAGAAATCGTTATCCCCAATAACACCGATCTGCCAGAAACATCCCATTTAGGTTCAATGTATGTTTCTATGTTTCTGACATAAATGATACGTCCCTACGATGTCTATAAAGAAATGTTTCTGGAATGATTTCTCAAGAACGTTTTAGAAACATCGTATTTATGTATATGTATTCTATTTTCGTTTTAAATATTATTTTGAAATACAATAAATTATAAAATTACTGCAATCCCCAGAAATCTACAATATTAAATTTGAACATTTTGAACAACATTTTTATTTCACAAGACAAAAAGAGTGCAAACAAATACGACAGATATGAATATATCCTTCCTTCTGGTTCAGCAGGAGAGTTCGGTTATTCCTCCGCGAGCTAAAAAAATACACTATTGACAGAAGCCCTCGTTATGGAATCTATTTCTTAGCATTGAAAGTGTAGCGCTATAGTACTTATGAAGATGTCGTTTCATTTATACAAATTGTATGGATGGAACGACATTTTAGATGAAAAGGAATAGACCTCATATTAGATTTGCTCGCGGAGTAATAACCGAACACGCATATAGATCCAATGACAATATTGACATTTGACAGACATTTAATTAATGTTAGTTGAAAATAAAATGGTGTTTGGTGTTTGGCCACGTTTGTAATAGAGATTGAATAAGTTTAAAAATAATAAACAACTTTTCTATAAACCTTTAAATAAACTAAAAGTGATAATAGGAGACCGGATTGAGGTGTATAGTTTGTACGTAAAGCTACATGAAAAATCACTTCCAATTCGAAGTTTGATCAGGCTTGGCAAATGTGGAAATAATAGTTTTGCGTTCAAGCTATTCAAGCCAAAATGAAGAAGGTAACTTAATTTCCTTTAACAAAATGTGGCTTTTATGCATTCTAGTCATTATTTCTTTATTTGTTAACTTTAAAAATAACTATTTTAGGTTTTGTATTTTGAAATCCAAAGTAGCAATAATCTGTGTGAATTTATCAGAAGATGCATAGCTCCTCTCAAAGTACGAGTTGTGTAAGTTGTTTTCATGCACTGGAAAAAAAGAAAAAGGAAGACGCCGCAAGTTAAAAATAGCTAAAGCCATTATGGATAATTATTTTAACTTAATATCAATTGTTTATATTGTCATTTAATTAAAACATTTTTAGATTCGATAAATTGGTAAACAAAAAAGAAATAGAAATTAAAATAGATGACTGGTTGTGGAGGGCTCCGGAAAGAAATAGACGCAATGAATCAGAGCGTAATAATTAACAATTTTTATTTTTGTTTCAAAAAATATATATATTTTTTTCAAATAAATTTATGAAAAAAGTGATAGATTTTATTATCCTATTAAAAAAACATTTAGGTCATTTCTGGAACGTTCCATCAAGAGTATAAAAACTTACCTAAGACGTTTGAGCAACATCGCAGGATGTTCCACAAACGTCTCTGTGAAACGTCTCTGTGAAACGTCTCTTAATACGTTACAATTGATGACATGGTCATTGCCAGAAACATCCCAGGTACGTTTGAGGGAAAATAAGAAACATGACAGAGACGTTTCCAGTGTCCCAAGTGGATGTTTCTGGAACGTTCGTGTAACAATACTGTGCTATTAGGGATGTTACTGCCAATCGATCCGAAATTGGTATATCATCTCTGTAGTTTGTATTACATTTAGCAATTATTGGTTCAATCCTAAGAAAATTCTGAAAAGAAATACCATAAACATCCATTCGTAATTGATTTAAAAGTTTATTTTCTACATAATTTTTGTTTAAACTAGGCCGAACCCAAAATCTGTGCTTCCTTTTATCTTTTTTGCAGATAATTTTTAGTCCATATACCCTTAGGGGAGAGAGGGTAAAAATGATCCCCTTAAGGTTTGATGACGTGTAACTGCTTCTGATTACGAAATAAAATTATGAAAATTTTACTGCGATTAGCACAATGTATTTATTTTAGCCAGTCTTGTTTTGACAACTGAAATTGTAACTTTTTTGCAGATATGACATAAAAATCTGACATAATACAAAGGAATCATTTTGCTCTACTATGTGGGGTAAAATGATTAGTTGACAGGGGTAAAACGATCCCAGGGAAACATATTCGATGCGTAAAAAAATAATACTAATAATCAACGTTATTTTAAAATAAAAGTAATACCAGGTTTTTTATGGCTTCAAAAAAATATATATTTATGTAAACTTTACGACGAAAAAATTACACAAATAAAAAACTACAAAATACCTAAAGAGTTAAAAACAATTTTTTTTTAAAATGAGATTTCTGAGCACACAAATCCCCGACTCCGGCACATTTATCATGAGCCCAGTTAAAGCATACTGCGCACCTGATCCAGCTTTCACCGGATACAGAATTTGAATAAGATTCACCACAAAATATGCACTCTGTGTCATTAACTTGCTCATCGTCTTCTGAGGAATCTTGATCAACTATAACTGTTCTCTAACTTTTGTTTGCCTTTGGATTTCCTAGAACTTTTTGAACTTGGCTTAAATTTCCCTTTACTATGGTAACCTTCCTGTCCTTTCTTTTTATCAAGTCTCATACGTTTCGCTTCTAATGCCTCCTCCTGTTTCTTCTTTTCTTCCTCTAACATGTTCTTATATGGACTAGAGGTTAAAACCGCCGTCGATCCTTTTTTTCTACCACCCATTTTCTTACTTATGGTTTGTTTTTTAGGCAATGGGCGAATATCTTTGGGAGATATCAAAAACGACTGATCTTTATGTGACTGTCCTTGAGCAGCACTGCTGGTTCCCGGCATAGATTCGATGTCTGCTTTATCAATTGCAGTACTATCAAGAAGTCCTTGAGCTTCATTGCTTACAAACTGATTTTCCTTGTTATCTTCTTGGTCCATCTGGTTTTCCTCTTCTTGTAAAGAATGGTTTTCATTTGTCTTCACTTCATTGTTTCCTGTTACGTCACCTTCTATTGATTGGTCTAATTGATTCCTCCAGCCGCCATACATACAACAGCAGTTGTGCAAACACCACGATCAGCAGAAGTAATCCTTGCAACCTGTTTACGACCTTTTAGTGCCATGATCTTTGAATTTTTTCCTGAAACTGTGCATAATGAGGTCTCATCTACATTAAATATTCGACGAGGAGGAAATTTGTGTTTGGTTATTTCTTGTTTGAGGAGATTGTAAAATGTATCTACAACGGGTTTATTAAAACCACCTGCTCGGGCAATAGAAGTGGATTCTGGACTTCTTAAGGTCAGCTCAGGATGCCTAGAACGAAAATTTGCCAGCCAGTCTTTTCCAGCTGCTTGTTTATTCTGGGAAAATGGGTGATTTATTTTATTTCTTTTGTTGAAACGCTAAGCAGCTAACATCTCGTACTGTTTGACCGTACATTTTTGCCTTCATATCTAAAATGTATTCTACGAGCTCTTGTTCTTGCTCCTCCGTAAACAATGATTTAAGCCGTCCTAGACCTTTCATTTTAGATACGTTATTGGTCAGCCTTCTTTTAAGAGCCATAATGGGAACACCAAATTGTCTTGCTGCAGTTTTTTTAGGCATTCCTGCGTTAATTGCTGCCAACATATTTTCACAATGCCAGTTTTGTCTTTGTGTTTTTCTATGATATATTCTCGGCATATTTGTATCTATAAAAAATAAAATAAATCCATAAACATTACAGGTATTTGAGTATGATTTTAGAATAAATCAAGGGTACCTATGTACCGTTTAATTTTTCAATAAATTTACACTTTTCTTGGCTATGCATCTAACTAAGCCTCTTATACTTTATACTTCAATTCAAAATTCTGTTGGGGGTAAAATGATCCCTCGAATCATTTTACCCCATTAGTATGGGATCATTTTACCTCAAAGTGACCTTTTCTAGTTAAAACATAAATTAAAATCACCCAAAATTATTAATGTAAACAATTAACAGTATCAGCACATTCTATATTGTCCACGCTTTAAGAATATATACACTTACCTTAATACGTTCCCTGTTGGCAGAGCAAACACTATAAAATCGGGGTATTTTAGATCAAACTGCGGCTAACCGGTCAAAATTTAACATACACCTTATCTTGATGGCAGCTCACGCCAAACTAAGAGAATAGTGCTAACGCAGTACAAAGCGGAGATTTTCAAGGTTATACATCTAATATAGAGTGTCGTGACGTAGCACGTGCGGGGGATCATTTTACCCGCAGCGATCATTTTTACCGGGTCTCCACTATAAGAAAATTTCGTCGTCGTCAAAAAAACATTCTCGGATGAAGAACAACCAACTGTCTAAGCCCGAGCACGCCGACACTTAAAATGCTCACTGCCCAGTTTGGTGTGTAACGTTACAATTTGACGTTGGTGCCAATTTGTAACCTAATTAAATTAATAACTGAATTTATGTGAAATATAGTAACTTTAATTTCATCAGATTCTCGGACTAGCTCATGTCAGGATCATTTAGATCGAGTTCTAACAAACCAATGGCATCATCTTTAATTAAAAAAACAAGCAAGTGTTCTGAAAAAGGTTAAGGACGTCATGTATTTAGAAAGTTAATAAATACAAATTATGCCATTAATTTGCTAGTTAAGTCAAAAGAGTGAAATTAAAATATAGTGACTTTAATTTAGCAGCAGACTCTTAGCAATTGTTTGAATGAAAGAGTTATATCAAAACAACAAATGGTTATTTTAAATCTCATTAAATTAAAAGATAGTGATGTTAACGATTTTCTTTGATGAAACAAATGTTCGGATTACTGGCTGACACTTAGCTGACTTGGGTTGACGGTCGAGGAGCTATGGCCTTCACTGGGCCGTTGATGAGAAGATACTTCTGTTATGTCTTCCCTGGAGACTTCCTCTTAATACATGCTAGCTGGTATGTATCCACCTTCTCCAGGCCGGTATCCCTTTTTGCACTGCTCAATTGCTGAAAAGATACTACTTTTATTATATAGGCCGGTCACTTCTTTTTGTAGCCGCTTTACCCTCTATGTATTTGCCGCTCTCCTCTTTAAATATAGGCCGCACACATATATAAGCCGGTCACCTCTCCTCTTTTCATATAGGTCTCTCGTCTTTTAATAAACAAAAAAAAAAACACACGGTGTCAGTCACTAATAAAAACCTTTCCATCTCTTAACATGTGTGACACAAAAGAATGTACAAAATAAGTAATTTTAATATAAAACAATTATTAAAATTGCAGCACAAAATAAATACATTTAATATAGAATAATTATTAAAATTGCAGCGACTGATTAGATTCGCAACAGTATTCAGTTACCTTGTTAAAAGATGGAAAAGATCAAAAATCTAGATATATAAAAGAACTAAAATGGCCACTTTTAATGGCATGCAGTATAAAACTGAAAGAGAATTTTAACGTTTATCAACCCAAAACAATTCTTGGAACGTAATAATCTACAAACGAAATGTTGAACCTGTACTCACTGATGAAACCAAATATATTTAATAATTACCTTTTGTCACCAAGCGTTTACAAAAACCAAAAACAGTTATTTCGAAGTCAAACCACGAAAAGGGCAAGAATATTCAGTAACCTGTCTTAAAAAGGTAAATTGCATTGTCCGATCGTGCGCAAATGCCAATTTATTGATTTTTACGAAGGACGGGTGGGGTGGTTGAACACAAACGAGATATTCGCCAGCGGCATGACGAAATATTTTTCCTAGGAGGGTATAATTATTAAATGTAAGTAATATTCGGAAACAAAATTGAAACGTTATTTATAACGTTACAGGTGTCGAATTTAATTTCGCAAGTGCCGCCGGGCTAGCCCAGTTTGGTGGAGCCTCAGTTTTTAAGGAATTGTCATCTATTATGAGTTTTTTCAAAAGTAATATGCACTTTTCAGCTTTTAAAACATCTTAGAGGTATGTGGATGGATTCTGCAGTTTTTCAAATTCGGATGTGCTTAGGAGATATCGGCAAAGGATGGTTTGATATTAATGAGAGAAACGCTGAAACATACGAAGTATCAAAATTGAAAAGGTTTATGGAGTTAATTAAATTTAAAATGCAGGTAAGGCTTATTTTTAGGATATCATTGATGATCCATGTTCATACCAGTAGGGGAGCCAGTCACACTATTTTAGTACACATTTGCGCAAGGCTAATTTAAAAGTATTCATTCTTGCATTGCAGAACATGCTGCCAACGCACCAACGGAGGAACGCTCGATGACAGTGTCTCAAAAAACAATTTTAGAAAATTCTACATATATTTAATTAGATAATTAACTCGACATAGACCTTCATGGCTCAGGTCGTTAGTGCACTTTACTTTGGATTTTGCAACACGGGTCAAATTCCCGATAAAAGCAATAGTTTTTGTTTTTATTTTGGAAAAAAATTAATAAATACGATTATTGCTGGTTATTTATTTTGAATACAATTTATTTATCATAATAAAATCTCTACAGTTGGGAATTCCATTAATCTTTCCGTTAATCTTTCCGCTATTATTGATAACAGTTCACAAGATCGAAGACACTTTTCGTACCGTGTATAAAATATCATTTTGGGGCCACATTCTATTTCAGCTCTAGTATAGATAATACATTACATTAGATTTCGTTAGGACTGTGAACCATCTATTCTTCCCCACCTCGACTTTTTTTAGATCTATTGTGGATATCCTTTAACGTTGTTTAGAGTACCTTGTCAAGTTTGGTCTTCGGTAGTACACTCCATAGACTAGGAAAATTTCTCCGGCGCACCTAGTTACCCTTGGTTTTTCTTTTCCATCTCAATTTCGATAGACCTTCGCAGTGGCACAATACGTGTACTGTAGTTCCCTCCTTTTCCTGACAGAATCGGCACAAGGACTCTTCTGCTAAACCGATGTTATACATGTTTGTTAAGCCTAGAATACCTTGTTAATAGGCCTACTAGTACCATAGTATTTATACTCTTATGGATTAATAGATGATCGGTAAGTTTTGGTGAATCGTTGGATTGTCTCTGTCCTAGTGAATTGTTCGACCATTCTTGAATTTTTTTTGTTTTGTGCATGTTCTTATAGTTATTGTGACAACACAGAATGGTTCTGGGCCAATAAGAGCCTTTGAGGCTAATTCTCGGGCTAGTTAATCAGCCCCTTGATTACCCGTATGTCCTCTTTGGCCTGGTACCCAGGCTAAGGGTATTATATTTTGACATCTCAGCTCTATTAGGGCTTCCAAACAAACTTTGAGGATATCTGCATGGAATTGAGCACTTTTAACGTCGTATGACCGTCTGAGCATATAACAATGGATTCTCCATTTACGCGCAGTATTACTGTTGTTTTTACCTGGAATACTATCGCGTGTTTACTTAATTCCAGTGAGTTTCTTGTGTTTGAATTGGCACTGTATATATCTACTTCTGAACCTTCATGATTTTTGGAGCCGTTCATATATCAGATGATTTCTGCGTAAATAGGGGGTTGTCCCATCCACGCTTCCCTGTCTTGTTAATTTACTTTTAAAAGCTATATTTTGGGTGCATTTCGTACCCCAAGGATAACTGATTTGAAGACGTTTATACCAAACCTTTCTTCTGTGCTCGTCTTTGCAGATTCGTGTATGCAGTAAAAACGATCTGTGCTTTCTTAACGGCTCATTGACGAAGAGATTTTACTCGCCAGAATGCGGCGCTACACAGGTCTCAGGGGCTTTTTTGGAATTGCACATTTTTTTACCATTTTCTTTTTAGTCTTCTTTTTCTCTAATCGACAACTATCAGGCAAACTGCTATACTAATTGCAATACGTTATTAATTAGAAAGCCGATAGAAAAACACCATAAGAGAAACGCTGACAGCTGATAGTAGATCACATGTCACTGAAATCTCAAACGGTGGTGTTAGGCCGTTTCAGTATGTGAAGCCGTTTTTTGTAAGACTTGGGTAGCGCCGCATGTGGCGAAGAAACTCTCATCGTGAAAGGTAAGACTAATGACAGAATATGGTCATCTAGGTAATCACCTGATAAAGATAGGTCTGCAACAAACATCGGCAACGTGGAAGACAAATCTGCAGAGCACATTCTATACACCTGATCCTCCTTAGAAAGAACTAGGATCCTGATATTTAGCTTTACATGACGGGTTTATAATTTAGAGATGAGCCACAATAGATCCATCTGGGTCGCAGTGGAAGGCGATGTGACCATCTCACTCATTTACAACCTAACCTAATATCACACTGGTGTTTACTGTAAACACTTAGTTGACATAAGCTACTTTCTATATAAAAAAAACCTGTGCAATGGGTAGTTCTCGTAGACCGTCGTAGAAAAATACTACTTTTATTTTATTGGAGGCAAATATATGATAACCTTATTTAATTATTTTTATTTCAGCATGCCCTACGCCTCTTAGTAGAAAATTCCCTGAATATATTCATTAACTTGGTTGAAAATCCATGCCTACCTTGTGTGAACGTGCCAAATGATTTTACTTGGGAAGGAGATTTAACGGTCAGCCAATTTGTTTCAAAGTATCCTCCAATTTTCAGTCTACAGATGAGATTAAACGAGGACGGAGCTTCATTTTCAACGAATCCAGAAAGTTTTCAGGTTAGTTTGATTTATTTTACACAAGTGTTCGTAAAGTACGAAATAAATTTATTACTTTTTAAACGAAACCAAAAATAAATGTAAATGATAGAAACTTTAAAATTGCGTTAACAAAGGAGCAGTGATACAGTAAACAATGATGACTTCAAGTACCGTTTTTATTTCTTTTTACGATTAAGCATTATCCAACCAAAGTATGGTTATTTTAAGAATTTTTAGCGTATGTAGCATTATGCAAATTATTTTAATGGTACCATTTCCTTACAGATAATTCTTTTTATGACAATTGTTTTGCTTCTGTGATTGTTTTTGATATGGTTTTATTTTAGGTTTCCTTCAGTCGTTCTTTAGTCCTTTGACAACGTTCACGCTTTTAACAATTCTGTTATCTTACATTCGTTGCAAGTGCCCTCCTAAGATCAACTCTCTATCTTCTATGTTCTATAATACTGATTTTCTTTCCAGTTTTTATATGTCGGTGTTCGTATTCTATTTTGCCCTGTAACTCCTTTGACTGAATAATTTTGACATTTCGTACGCAATTGGTATTACTTGGTGCGGTGTTAATAGATCACAAATTTTACTGTTTTATATTATGTTAACGAGTTGCTTTTTATTCTATAATTTTGTCTGTTCCATTCTATTCACATTTTAGTCTTTGGGGCCAACTTTCGTTTAGCTAAAATCAGTTACGTAAAAACTGTTGCCATGTTAGCCATTGCCACAGTTTATAGCTTAAAAGAATCAGTTCGCTCACTCAGACCAATTGGATGTTCCAAAATAATATCCACTCCAGGGATACAAATTCAGGATGCCATTGCCATGGTAACCTGTAAACAAAATCGCAAATCCCGTGGTGAGGAAATGCGTGATTGCCAATTTATAAATAAATTAATTTCACTTTAGTTTAGATGAAATCAGTAACGAAAAAACGTTTCATAGAAACACTTGTCATGGTAATGACTGAACAAAAACCCAAATCCCGTAGTAAAGAAATTCGTAGTTGCCAAGTTATAGATGATTTAATTTAACTTTAGCTGAAATGAGTTACGAAGAAAATGTTTTCATAGGAACACTTGTCACGGTATCGACTAACAAAACCCCAAATCCCATGGTGAAGAAATGCGTGTTTGCCAAATTATAGATTTCATTCATTCATGCAAGCCAGTCGGTGGCTTATTGCTCATTTTATTATCAGCACATACAATCGAATCATATGAGCCTTGAGCAATTAATTCCAAAACTCAGTGACCTTCCGTAATGCGTTTTCGATTATATTTTCTTTTACCGAACTTAGATTCATCAACCTAAAATAAATATAAAAACTAGAATATTTACAAACCCACATAACATCAATGTTCTATGAATATACTAAGAAAATTCTGTTTATGTTCTTTTTAGTATGTCCTTTCTAGAATGTTTAAGAACATACTTTGAAAGTATATTCTAGAAAGTATATATTGAGTACGTGCTATGAAAGTATATTCTAAAAAGTATATACTGAGTACGTGCTTTAAAAGTAAAAGTTTATATACATATCTATATGAATGTTTCCCAGATGCCGATCTGATAATTAGCTAGCAAACGCACTAATGTTGAGTGTTCAGGCCAAAAAATATTCACAACCTTAATAGAAGAGAAGAAGAAGAATAACATGACCTACAATTCCTACAATTTTTTTTTGATCTAGTTTCAGTTTGCAATAGGTAAAGAAGTTAATAAAAATTAAGTGATGTTAGAACACAGGATACCCCAAATATGAATTGCCAGTTTTAATTTATTATTATGGTTAATATTAATGGCGGGTTGAAACTAAAATACAGTGTTACCAGAATTATACATACACACTTTCTATGAAAAAAATCCTGTAAGGCCAGAAATTGACCTGGAAGAACTAGAAAATTAGCTAAAGGAGGACGAAAACTACAAAATGGTGGTAAGTAATTAACAAAAATATTGTTACACGGGTTTTTGGTATCACAATTTATTTCAACTCAACTTTAACAATAACAATGCAACTGGGGGGGTGGGTTGGCTCAGTGGTTAGAGTCATGACTCTGAGATCGGAAGGTCTCAGGATCGAATCCCACCGGTGGCAGGAATTTTTATTTAATTTAAAAAATTAAATATTAATTCTAATGCATAGGTAGGATTCCCCACTCGACCATTCACTGTTGGGTTCTAATTAACAGTGCTGTTCCTAAAGTGGCGCTGAGAAACAGTAACAAAGCCTACACAGAACACGAGGCTAATAACCATAGCAGTTCATACAACAATTATACAACCAATAACATTCACATGTAACGTTTATCATAAAACTGAAAACTGACGTCAGGATCATCCTTATATAGCTTGCTTGACCCTTCTCGAACTGTCGTCTAGAATATTCTTGACTGGCAATGACATTTCCAGATATTTCTATCTTCTTTTACTTGTACTTTTATTTATGACGACCACAGCACACTGTAGGACGATGAGTAACATTCCAATTCTTCTTCTATCTGTACGTTTCCTATAATAGCCGCAAGCTACTACAGGGTGCTGCGTAACTATATTTAAACGTTCACTAAACATAATCATTTATGTAACTCTTGTTTTTGTTAGTGGAATGTGATGTACAATTTTTAATCTTTTACGTTCGACAAAAATATTTAAAATATTCCATTAGCTATGTACAGTTAATTTGTATATGTACCAAGTTTGTTAAAATTTCTTATCTTTTAGGTTCAATGAAAATCCAGTGGAATCAAGCAAATGAAACTCAAGCCATTGATATAATAAAATATTGGTTGGTTAAAGCCAAAAAAAGAATTTGTAATAAAAATAAGTATGAATTTTTAGAAATAAATATTTAAAAAAATGATCACAACTTTCATTATATTATACTTATTCTTTAATGTTCAATATTAATGAAACATCCTGTATTAGGGTGTCTAGTATATGCCTAGTATACCTATGCTATATTTTAATACTTAACATATACTTAAATTAAATTAAAGTAGATACTTATCGCAAACTGTACACATACTTGAAGTACATTCTCAATATCTGCATAGCACGTATAAACAACGTCACATTACATATGCTTAGTATATTCTGAGAATGTACTAAAAGCAAATAAAGTATATTCTCAGCATATGCGTATTCTTAAAAAGTATATACTAAGAATATGCTAAGAATGTATAATTGTTATCTGGGAAGGTAGATCGGGAGCTTATTAAAAAAAGTAAGAAGTAAAAATTAAATATCAGTAACCTAATATCTTCACAAAGGTTGCGCGAGCGAAGCGAGCACGCCTGAATAACTTCAATCAAGCACCAGTTTTAATAATAATAAATCTAATGGAGTATGCGGTCGATGAGTACGCGTCCAATTAGAAATAAAACAAAAGTTAAATTAAATTATAAAGTTTGGCTCACCACGGGATTTTGGTTTTTGTTCAGTCGTTATTATGACGAGCATTCCCATGGCAACAGTATCTCCATATCTGATTTCAGCTAAACCTAAGTTAAAATTAAATCATCTATAACTTGGCAAGTACGCATTTCTTTACCTCGGGATTTAGGTTTTAGTTTAGTTGTTACCATGACAAGCGTGTCCATGACAAGCGTGTCCATGACAAGCGTGCCCATGGCAACAGTTTCTATATAACTGATTTCAGCTATATGAAATTAAATATAAAAACCGTAAACATTGATAATTTGACAAATACGAATTTTCTCATCACAGAACTTGGGTTTTTGTTTACTCATTGCCATCACAATTGTTGCCATGACAACAGTTTCTACATAACTGATTTCAGCTAAACAAAAGCTTAGCCGTCTTCTGATATATTGATATTTGATACAAAACGATTCATAAAGTTATTAACATTTTTTGGTACCACCCTTTTAGAGCATACGCAAATAAGCATTTACTCTTAACATCAAAAAATATAAAAACATGAATATTACATATCTTCTAGGTTATTCTTCTAAAATTGTTTGATGAAGGGTTTAAGCAGTTACACTGGATTAAGCAAGTACATCCGTTCCTGTTACAAAATTTAAGTTTTCCATCAGATTTGTACTTGTCGTCGGTCGGATTAATGGCAAAAGAGTTGTGCGACATTAGAGAACGCTTTACAGCTGCTTATCAGAAAGTGTTGATACCTCTGTATGCATATGCCAAGCGATTTGATGAATTTATTCCCCTCTACAATTTGGACATTAATCATTATATCCAGTGAGTATATTTTGAAACTATTCTTTGATATAGGTATATCCTACAATCAACAAATATCTTTTTGGTCAGGTTCAATTTCTGAGAATTTTTTTAAAATATTAAAAAAAAAAAGATATTAAAAATCAACAGGTCTGTTCCAACAACAATTAGAACCCAGTCACTGACACCAGTGGCGGCTCGTGGGCACTAGCGGCAGTGGGGCACACACTTGAAAGGAATCCCGGGATTCGTTTTTCCCTTAGGAAAACAAGTTCTCCGCTTAATGAAACTTAAATATATTTCAAAACAATCAGTTGGGGCAATAACGATTTCTGAATGAGACTACAGGGAGCTAAATGTGACCACTCAAAATGCATTTAAACTTGTATGTGGCTATTTAATCTAAAAATCATTACATATCCACTCTTGCGAAATTTACGTAAATATCTCAGAAGAATGCAATTTTCTTAACAATTCTAACTTGTTAACGCATTTTAAAGCATACGACTCTGAAGAGGTGTTTGGCAATTTAAAATCTCCCAGCGAAAAATTTTTGTTTTATATTTTCAAATTAGAAAAAAATATTTATATCTCTATTTGATAGTTTGTCAACTAAGCCTGGAATTTCCAACGCATACCTTTTTGAGATGAGCAAAATAGAATTTGGTCATCCTTGCCAACAATTTGCGAAAATGTACATCATTAAATTATTTATAAGACTTATTTTTTATACTCTTAAATATGCAAACAGAAGTTTTGTCCCATTTATAAATATTATTGATTTTTTTTATCATATTTTTGACTGCTTTATAAAAAAAAAGTTATTTTTCTTTGTAGTTTTATTTCTTAACTATTCCAATGGTCCAACTAACGTTTTTTCGTAATCACAATAAATAAATTATTATCATGGTCCAACAAACGCGCACCTCATCGACTTGTGAGGGAGCCGGTAAAGAAGCCTCTTCGTACATTCGTATCTGGTCTAGGTAATCTGTGCCATGGGACAGCGCCCTGCTTGTGACGTATAATCCATCGCATGTGTTCATCTCTTGCTAAGAGATATTGTCGTTGTCCTTGTTTTTCGCATCATAATGAGAGATAAAACAAAAGAAGCACACATTTACTGTGCCCTGTGCCCATCTTAATTTCGTAATTCTGGGAACGTCACTCAACGCCCGGTCATCCAGTGTCGTGCCAACGCGGTTTGCGCTGAATATTAGATAAAATAATAGGTAATAGGCATTGAGGAAAATATAAAATATGTAAGTTATTTTTGTTTTGTTTATTATACTAGGGCACGTACCCAAGTGCCCTTACGGGCAAACCGCCACTGACTGACACCAAGATTCTGCGTAGTAGATTATTTGGACTGCTGCATTATATAGGTACTACGCAGAATCCTGGTGTCAGTGACTGGTTTCTCATCGTTGTTGGAATAGAAATATTGTCTTCTCTGCTTTTGTATTTTTGTTTTTCTGTCTCTAAAACCTTCTTAAACTTGTCGGCCTACCTGTTCACACCACCTTGCCTTCTTCTACTTGCTCTGTTAAAATATTCCTTTCTTGATCTTTTTATCTTCAGCTCATTTTAACTGTTTAATTATACTCTTCGTGCTTTAAATTTTTATAATCTTTAATTCATTTCAATTTAAGAACATATTAGCCAAATCTTTAATACGAGGGTTGCCTTTAATATTTCGGAATTAGAGAACAAAAACAAATATCAATCATCGAAAATCGCTTTATTGTTTTTCGAAATATTCTCCATGAAGATTTATATACTTTAGCATGCGTTTGAACCAATTGTCAAAGCACGTTTGCCACTTTGATTGAGTTATCTCCAAAACATGCATTCTGAACGCATCAACCGCTTCTTCAGGTGTCGAAAACCGTTGACCTTCCAGTTTATTTTGTTACGTACGGGAATAAAAAGAAGTAATTAGGTGCCAAGTCAGGACTATATGATAGAAAAATGTAGTTGTTTGAGCCGATGTGTGAGAGCTCGCATTGTCGTGGTGAAGACAACTGGCAAACAAATGATTGTGTACCACTCAGAATTGACTGTTCTGCGTTGTTCTAGTGGTACGGTTGCGACATGTCAGTTTTCCGAAAAAACAGGGGACCATTTTCTTGGAAGTGTTCGTGCGCTAACAACTTTTGTTGGATTTGGCTCATCTTGAAACACGTATGCAGTCGACTGCTGTTTAATTTCGGGCTCATACGCGTAAATACACGATTGGTCAGCTGTCACTATGTCATAGACGTGTTTCGAAGCATCGCGATCGTATTTTTTGAGCATTTCTTTCGACCAATCGACACTAGTCTTTTTTTGAACGACTGATAAATTGTATGGGATCCAACGCGAACAAATTTTTTTTGACAGTCATATATTCATGCAATATTGAATGTATGCTGGTCCCACTAATGCCTAGGGATAGGTCACATGACGATCTTCCAATATGAGTTCGCGCACAGCATCAATGGTTTTCGGAACAACAACTGATTTTGGACGACCTTCAGGAAATTCGTCTTGGAACGAACTACGATTTCGATTGAATTCACCATACCATCGATAAACACTGGTCCTTGATGGAGGTTCATCGCCAAAAATGGAATTAAGTTTATCGATGCACTGTTGCTGAGTTAATCCACGTCGAAAGTTGTAAAAAATAATCGCACGAAAATGTTCACGATTTAATTCCATTTTTTGGACGAGATGAATCTTTTAAGTTACTGTAAAAAACACAAATGGCGCTCGTATGTCAAAACCTACTAAGTACGCATAACCTCAAAAATGTCAAACTTTAAGACAGATTTGTCAGTTGTCAGTTTGCAAGACTAGGGTTTTCCAATCCCGAAATATAAAAGGCAACCCTCGTATTATCAATTTGTCAAATCATTTTCTAATAATAGTGCTTCTACCTTCAGTTGTTCCAGATTTAATTGGTGGTCTACTAATAAATTGAAAATATGTGTATCTTCCTTAAACTTAAATTGTAATAGAATGATTGGAATATTACGTAAAAAAGGGCTGATTGTAACAGTCGAAAAAAATAAGATAAACGTGTCTCAAACGCGCTTACCTTCTGTGCTGCATCATATGGTTCGTCGGATGAAGTAGGTGGTAGTATTAGTCCAGTAGCCAAGACCGGGCCCGGTTACACAATTTATATAACAACGTTTATTATACAGGATTTATAATAGCGGATTTAACGGCACATACACACCACAAAGCGTTCGTCGCGGCAATTTTTGTAGTACTCTTCGTCCAACGGCGTTTCACTTGTCTTACAGTCAGACGAAGCGCATGTGTGGGCCAAAGTTTTAAGTAAGCGATTTGAGACAAAGCGCGAATATTTAAATAATAAAATAGGAATTAATTCATTCTGGAACATTTCCTGCCCCGAAAAAATGTAAATAATACATTTTTAAACTGATTAGACAATTCCCCAAAATAAAAACTAAATATTAAAGCAAAAAAAAGGAAAGTTCAAATAATAGAATTAAACCAAAAAACAATTATAAAATACTACAGGTAGCATATAAAAAAAAAAAAAAATTAATTATTAGGTAGTGGACACAGTTTTACCAATGGCCGTTTTAAAATAAAATTTTGTGTTTTTACCGTAGCTACTCTGGCTATGTTATCATTACCAAAATGCAGTTGAGTAACACGGCCTAACAACCATTTATTAGGAGGTAAATTATCGGTTTTAACCAAAACTAAAGTACCAAGTTTGGGGGTGTTAGCAGGGTCTAACCATTTGGCTCGCTGCTGTAGGGTATGCAAATATTCTTTATGCCAGCGACGCCAAATATCTTGATGGATGCGCTGTAACAATTGCCACCTAGAAAGGCGATTTAGGGGGACGTGTTCGAAACTGGGAACGGGAAATGCGGTTAAAGGTTCCATGGTCAAGAAATGACCGGGCGTTAAGGCGTTGATATCGTCGACATCATTAGATATGGCAACTAGTGGTCTAGAATTTAATATGGATTCTATAAGTGTCAGAACTGTATAGAATTCCTCAAATGTGAGAATTTGATCACCTATGACGCGGCGAAGGTGAGTTTTAACACTTTTAACGCCAGCTTCGGCTAGACCATTAAAGTGAGGAGCTCCGGCGGGGCTAGGAAACCATTGAATAGTTTCACTTGCGCTGGCCTGTTCCATAAGAGAAAGCAATTCGCGTTTTGCACCCATAAAATTTGTGCCACAATCACTGTATATCTGTGAGACTTTTCCACGCCTTGCAATAAATCTTTGTAGAGCGGCTAAAAATGTTGGTGTAGATAAATCACTGGCAAGCTCCAAATGTACAGCTTTGGTAGCCAAGCAGACAAAAATGCAGAGGTAAGCTTTGCAACTTTTTACTCCTCTGTGACGACTAATAGTTATATTAAATGGGCCTGCGAAATCAACAGCGGAGCGACCGAAAGGTTTTACCTCAGACACTCGAGACAGCGGCAAATTTCCCATTGGGGGTTGATAAGAGGTAGGAGATGTTTTCCAACAGCGTAAACATTTCGAAATCACTGAGTTAATGGCTCGTTTTGAGGATAGAACCCAAAACTGTTGAGCTAGTAAGAAGTGAGTACTTCTAAAGCTAGCATGAAAATACTTTTCATGAATGTGGCGAATGACGAGTGTAGTTAATAGACTTTGTCTAGGTAATAATATGGGGTGCTTAGATGAATAAGATATAGATGCATTATGCAGTCGACCTCCCACTCTAAGAATATTGTTATCATCTAAAAAAACATTCAACTTACGTAGAGGTTTAGAAAAACGTTTGGACTCAATTTCTTCCTGAAAGTGAGTATATTGAGTAGTTTTTACCAAAACAAGAAGGGCCGAATACAATTCGTCGGTGGAAAATATGCCACAATGTTTAGAAAGCGGGTGTTGACAATTGTAGATAAAGCGCAAGATGAAACTTAAAATATTTTGAATAGTAGTCAAAGAAGAATAATTTTCAAGCATAGAAATTACAAAACTCTCATTGTTATGATTGAGTAATG